ACGAAATAGAATCAACTGATAGAAACCGTAATAATGCCTGAAACACACACACAGCTGTGATTGGGGCTCACGTTCCCAGCTTGCAATAGACCTTTTTTCCTCTTATTAAAAAAGTTATAGTTATAATACTAATACTAAGGAATCTCATTATCTCACATATAATTAAGTGTATGCAACGAGAAAAAAAAAACTATGCAACATTTTTAAAGATAAAGTACAATTAACTTGATTAACACCAACATCAATTACGAATAGCCCATTCTGACTTATGAGTGTAGAATAAAATGAAAGGCAAGTTAATTATAGGAATTAATTAGAACCATGTAAATTTACAAAAGTTTAACCTTTCACAACAGACGCTGCGAAATCATTATTGTTACTACTATGTCAATATCTGATTTTATTCATCTTTTGTTTCCCACTGCAAAATCATGTCTTTTAAATCTGGTCAAAAAACGTGTTATATATGTGATTTATTTACGCTTATAAACTATAGACCCACATAGCATCTCAAAAATAGTAAAGGCAACGTGGGTAGTGACAAACAAGGTTGCATGCAGAGGAAGGAGTGAACGCAAACACCAAACGCTATATGGACAACATGATGGTTGATTTTTTATTTTTTTTTAAATCTAGTAACCTTCGTACGACGTGCTCATTGGACATTGGGAATGAGATTATACAAAAAGGTGAACATTCCCTCATAACCAAGAAACAAATGAATTCTTGGATTTCAGATTTGGTGATAACTTGAAACGAAGAGCCAAAGAGATGGGATATCAAATTCTTACCTAAGTTTTTAAGGAGTCAAGGAACAATGTCTTATTTAAACAAACAAGTTGAAGCGTGCGTCTTTCCAGCATTATCATTTGTTGGAACGAGTCTCCACTAGTCTTTCCTCCTGATTCTATCTCATGATTCATATGTTAGCTTATTTTAAATTTGTAATCATACTAATAATAAACAATCAATTATAAGTCTTTGTTTTCCTAGGAAACCAAACTCAAATTACCTCTGTTTCCTTGATGTCGAGCTTCCATGACCTCCTTGTTGGGGTTACATCTAACAAGAATTTAAATATTTCCATGTATCAGGAGGGCATTGGATTCTTGGGAACAGATTGTAATAAATATTTAGTGAAGAACACAGAGAAGTGTGTGACAATGTTCACCGTACATACTCATTTTCGTCTGACAGGCTCTTTGCAACGGATGATGAGGTCTCATCTCCCTGATTTTTTGGGTGATTCACTTCTTTGCTTTGCTCATCGTTCTCTGAGATTGTTTCACTCCCAAAACTGCAGATGTCTCCTGCTAGTTTAGATTTATGGTTTGCTGATAAACAGTTCACATTCCCTTGTTCACCATCATCATCATCATCCTCTCCAGTGCCTCCTACTGAAAACTTAGGAAAATCAGGGGCAGGAGATTGACGCCAGTGCGAACTACCAACATTGGGGTTTAGGAAAGGATATGGTTTGCCTCTCTCGGTTGTAATATCTGTGACAGAGGTTTAAAAAATAAATATATATGTGAGAGATCGCCAAGAGAATGGTTAGATTGATCTCGGCACCGTGGCTTGGGACAGGGTAGTGAAGATGTTTCAGAAAAAATGAGAGGCAAACCTGAGCTTATGCCTGCAGCTGTTAATCCTTCTGCAAACCAATTGTAAGGCGCGTCGAGACCACCACGAAAAGGGGATTCTCTCTGACTGGTACATTTCAACTTTCCTGAGTTTGATAGTCTGACCTGCTTTACAGACCCAACTCTTCTATTCAAATGTTGATCATCCACATCCCAATCTTCCCAGGATTCTTGGAAAATGTCATTCTTCAGATAGCTCTTGTCTTCAAGGTTGCGAAATGAACTAATTTCCCTCTTCCTCTGTTTTGGGTTGGTTTCAAACTGTGAAACGGGGGTTTCATTGGCCCAAACTGACAAGATTCAGTGACAGTTTAGTACCTGGGAAAAAAACAAATGTTTGCACAATCCTAACATGTGATTCAAAGGAAATTCTTCAGAAAAGTTATCACCTGCACTAGACGAGCAAGATTCTTCGCTGTTAGAAATAAAGAGTGGTGTCACGATATATAAAGCATATGAATCACATACATAAAGCTAATGAATCACAATCAGAGAGACAAATATTTCAGATGTTTACCTGCGCAAGCTAAGGCTGTCTTTATCTTCATCAGGTACAATGGATGACCAAACCGGTTGGTCAATTACATTGTCAAAATCAAAGTTATCGGGGGATTTGAAATAGCTGGAAGTTTGATTTTGGGAAAAGTTCAGTGAGCATGAGTTAAAAAATGGCTTTATGAATTTCGATGATTTGACTTACGCTGCCTTAGTGAAAGTTGGATGATCAATGGTCCTTTCAAAACGAAGCGGTCTTCGAACTGGTGAATCTGAAAAAACGAAGAACGAAGGATATACCGAATAATAGGCCAAAACGTGGTGAATCCAACAAATATGTAATTACATATCTTTCCAACTTCAGACTCCAATAACAGAGTAAGCTAAGAAATACTGAAAGAAAAGAATTAAATCAAAGAGATGGGACTGAAAACTTCCAAAGAATGATGTGAAACAATGAAATTTTAAAAGACATGCGCTTAGACTAGTTATTTTATGATTACAACTTATAGGGTCAAATGAAAGTTCCTTAATAAAGTCATATATGAAGCAAACATTTTTTAGTTGAACAAAACCCCACCTTCGATGTTGGGCCTCCAGGTCGTTTCCAGGTAATCCCTAGAGACACCAGACTGTAAATGTCAAAAAGTACAGAATCACTATCCATAAAGGGACAAAATGAGAGATTTTAAGAGCACCTCTTCTTTGTCCCATGGTGTTCTGCAGAAGACCGACTCTCAGTAGTATAATCGTTTCCATAATTCATGAAATTAAGGTTTACATTTTCCTGGCATGGCTGTTGATCCTTCCAGTAAAAACTGCCTTCACCGTCATCAAGAAAGGCGGACTTAGCTGGTGAAGTAAGAAAAAGAAACCAATTCATACATTTCGTTATTTGATCTGATACCAGAAAATTTGATACCACGAGGAAAGAAAGAAATACATGTACATATGATCTGATACCAGAAAAGATTTTACATAGTACATGTCAAACGACTCAAACCACATGATATTATGTTCATTACATATAATCCTATATTCACTACTTTGATCAAGTCGTGTTTTGTCTAGATTAAAGAGGATAGAGGCCCGTGACCACCTAAGAGAAAATAAGTGAGACAATAAGAGTTGCATAGATGGTGCATTATGCGAGTAAAGAAATTTAAAAATTAAATCCTTAGCTTACCGTTCCACTCGTTTTCATCAACGACCCTGCCTTTGTTGAAATCTACAGCGTCACAGAAGTAGCTTCTTGACTCGCTAATATATGGTTTATGTAAGTGATCAGTGAAAGTGTGCAGTTTTTTCTTTCTGCCCCCAGTTTTAGCTTGTATGCCAACGGGAGACCTATAATGACTGTCATCTTGGAACAATTTGCTACTTTCAATTATTGTGTCCTGTAAGAGGAAGATGAAAATATTGTTTCTGGAAAAACACTTAGAAATGAAAGGAAACAGCTAAAAGATAACATGCCGAGACTTTCTCACTATTTCCTTCTCAAAGTCGTTGTGCCTTTCCCTGGCGTTTGATGTATCTGGTTGACCAGAATCATTCCATGGAGATGAACACTGGTACGCAAATTTTCTTTTACACCAGAAATTAAATACAATCACTGATTCATATCCTAAATGGTACATCCTACTGATAATCTAAGAGGAAACAGTACAGATAGATAAAAAAGGAAACAAATATAATGAAAACAAGTGCCAATACAAACGAAATCGTGAATGCTGCTCACCTGTCTGATGGATGTGGAGAATTAAGCGGAGTCTCCGTGTTTATTTTACCTAATCCTGAATGGAGAAAGTAAGAGTCACAAGATAAAGGCACAGTAGGAAATCTCGTCTTAAAGACTGATGATTATCTAGATACACATGAAGTTCAGCTTTTCCCACCACTCTCTGATCTCTAACACGGTAAGACCTATACCTTCAACTGAAAATGCCATGTGAGCCTCGGATGGAGAACTTTCTTCCAGGTTGGTTGTTGTATGATCATCACCAACCAAATCAAAGACAGATAACTCTGAAAAATGTACAATGTCTAAATTAATTAGGAAAACAGTTTTGCAGATGGTTCAATAAGCTCATAAGCATGCAACGAAAGTGATTGGGAAGTCAAACCAGAATGAGATAGACCGATCTACTCTATGTACAAGGATGGTAAAACAGAAACAGTAAACCTTTCTAGTTTCTAGATGCTAACTTATAGTGAATACTTACTCCGTTCTGTGCCATCCATCAGATCCGCTGTGGTGTTTGCTTTTTTCGAATCATTTGTCTGGTTCTCAGGTAAACAAAACGGAATCCTATAAGACAGTGAATCATAAAATTTCTATAAGACATGCAGTTCCATTAGCAAAAAAAAAAAAAATCAAGAGGATGTACATTCTGAGAAACTAAACTTAGACAGTGACATTAGATGAAAGCAATACAAAGAAAAACTGACTTGCCTCTTTGAGGAAGAAGTTTCTGCTTTATGGTTTAATGAACTTCCTGCATCATCACACACAACATGAGCAGGAGAGGACCAAGTTTTTATAACTCAGGAGGTTTTATCTTCACCTAATTTATAGTATAATGATGAACTTGAGCAGATTCATAGATCATGACTGTGGAGACCTTACCTACTCCCGAAATGTTGTCCTTCAGACTGTAGAAATCAGCATCCAGATCTTCCATTCCTTGTTTCGCTAACAAATGACACAAACAGGAAGAGAGCAGAATGGAACTATACGTCATGGTTCAGAGGCATTAATGCAAATGGTCGACACTCAGAACGACAGCTGGAACAAGCATATCATTACCATCTTCTGAACGAGAAGGTTTGCATTCAGGAGTAACGGTTGACAAGTTCAATAAATTGAGAATATCCAAAGACTGGTGTTCTCTTGACTGTTGATGACTGTTGTTTCTATCATTACTACAGCTCTCAGACTCAACTGTGAGCTGATGCTGTTGCTGTCTCCTCTGCTCAAAGTATTGTTTTTGCCTTCAGGTGAATAAAAAGAAAGTGTGAGCACTAAGTGTCTATGACATCATCATTGGGAATCATTATGGTGAGAAACATCTCATAAACAGAATAATAAAGCGCTTACACACCTCTTCTTCACTGACGTGTGTGACTGAATTCCCCAAAAGATGCCAAAAGAACAACAACAAGTCAGAACTATCATCTCTATGGAGTTGAATTAAAACACTCAGGAGTTGTGTTTAAAATAAAATCAAGCTATAATCATAACACCCACAGGTTTATATTCACCAAATCTAACTTATCCCAAGACAAAATTTGCATCACTGAAAATGAAGAATCAATAGTCACTTACAGCAGCCACTTTCCGCCTCGATCCTCCCATCCATTGCAGCATTCTTAGCAATTCCAGTTCTTAACTGTAGAGGGATCTCGAAATTAACCTCACCACGAACAGCTCGACGCAACGATTCCGTAACGAGATTGCGTTTCGTTACCACTAGTCTCTAAGATTAACGAAACTTCGGTTCCAATTCCAAAAATTAACGATTATGTCGCGAAGAATCTATGTGAATTTTCTACGAAATATACAAATTAGAGAGAGTAGAAAAAGAGAATACTCGGAAAAATTGGAGTCTTCAATAACAGTAGCTGAATCGCGTCGGGCATAGAAACGATTTAGGGAAACTGATAATTGCTTCTACACAAAACCGGTGAAGCCGATGGATATTTGCGGTGGGAAAGATCAAATTCGCAGAAGGACGAACCGAAGACGATGCAGCGAGCGAACGGTCTTCTAAAAATTTCGAAAAAAAAAAGTGAGAGCATTGGGTGTATTCGTTTCCCGCTGCGAGTCTTGAAACATTTTGTGAGGTACGAAACGAATGGGCCCTTCAAAGCCCATGAAAGACGACAAAAAAAAAAATCTCAAAATTGAGCTAGATTTTAACTTTTAAGATGTAAATAATTTTAATACTGTCCAAACAAGTAACTAACAAAGAAGGTAATAAAACATAAAACTAGATTTCAGACTGTATCAAATACGAATCTAGATCAAAATATACAATTTTCAGTTCTACAACAACAACAACAACAAAATTGGCTAAAATCACATACCAGAAAGATGGTAATTTTGTGAATAAGTCAATCTGATCACATTCTAGATGTTGGTTAATTTATGGTTTTAATCTTTTAAATTTTACTTGCTCTAATCTAATCCTTAGGGATTATTACCATTTATTCTTTCGGTATATGTAACGATCCAGAAACATGTTGTTAAATTGTTTCATATTGGAATCATATAAAACTACTTTTGATCATCTTGTCTTGGTTATTGTCTTAATACAGTCATTTAGCAGAACAACAGTCTCAGGATTAGTATCAAAACATCTGAGACTGATGTTTATCTTGCAGTTTTAATGAAATAGCGGTTGACAAGTTCAGCAAATTGAGAGAAGCTCCAAAGATTGATGTTCTCTTGGCTGTTTATTATTGTTTATACTTTACATACATTATTAGTACACCTCTCTGACCAAACTGTGAGCCGATGCTGTTGCCATTTCCTCTGTTAAAAGGCCCTTGGTTTCATAACGATCGTCGAGTGGTTAAGGATCTGCAAGCTGAACTGTCCACCTTTCTCAGAGTTATCCACTTTAGTCTGTCCAGGAGGAGGAAGAAGCTCGAAGTTTTGTACCAGCCTACCAATTGTGATTCCCAAAATGGGCAACGCCAATATAATCCCGGGACAGCTTCTACGTCCAACACCAAACGGCAAATACCTGAAGTCATTACCGCTCGTTTCCACGTGCGACTCTTCTTCAAAGAACCTCTCAGGTCTAAACTCTTCAGGTTTCTTCCAGCTGCTAGGGTTGTTCGCTAGCCACCAGGCATTGACCAAGATTTTGCTCTCTGCTGGGATATCGTAGCCAGCGAGCTTAGCGTCGTTGAGGTTCATGTGAGGCACGAGGAGAGGAACACCCATTCTTAGACGAAGTGTCTCTTTGAGCACGGCTTGGAGGTATGGAAGCTTTTGAAGCTCTGGCTCTGTGACTTGCACGCCTGGTCCAAGCACCGTGTCGATCTCGTTCCTTAGCTTGCTCTGGATTTCAGGATGGTTCACAAGTTCAGCAATTCCCCACTCGATAGACCACAATGTTGTCTCCAGAGCTGTTTCAACACAAATGATACAATAACTCAGGCACTGTACAAAATCTACATTACAGTGCAGTCTCTTCAGGGGAGACAGATTTACTTTTGCAATTTCTGACCAGACAAAGTATACTGTATATGAATTTAGCCTATTTTGCTGTTTTACTTAATATTCTACTAAAAGTCAAATGTCCAATTTTATACGCAAGCAAGAGACGTCTAGGGAATTGATTACGTAACCTACAAGGAAAAAGAACTTTAAGGCTAAGGAAGTTACCAGCGACATTGATGTTCTCGACGATGTAAAGAACATTATCCTCGTTGATTTCTCCGTTCTGTTGAGCTTCGAGGATGTGATCAATGGCGCATTTCAATCCTTCGCTGCCTGAAGGCTTACCGCTCACAGTTCGCCTGTGTGATTTGATTTCTCAATGTTACTTTCAAAATCCCTAAATCGAAAAAAACAAAAGTTTACCAAATTTAGAAATCGAAAGAGACGAACTCACTTCCTCTCGTCAACAAAATACTTTTTGAAGAGCGCTAATCTCCGATCCTTCACATCCTGACAAATCTTCAAATAGCCTCTTAGAAACGGCCTTAGGATAGGGATGAAGTCGCCATAGTTATACTCGAAGCTCTGAGTTAACCGGCTTCTATCTCCGTTCAAGGCTTTTAACCGGAGAAGAAGAGGATCATCCTCGCTCTCGAACCTTCTATTGAACATAACACGATACATATTATTATACATCATCAATTGCAATCGCTTCCTCACCACGATCCCTTTCGTCGCCGAATCTGGATTCTTCTTCACATCTTCGACTACACTCGCCGCCTCCGATTCCCATCCTTCCCGGTTAAGCTGAACCACCTTGCTGGTGAAAAACGGAACCGTCATGATCCGTCGCATCTTCCTCCAGTGCTCGCCGTACTCCGTGAAAACCATATCCTGCCCTTTTCCGGTGAAGATATCGTACACGATGTTCCTGTATCTGGATCCAAACTCGATTCCCTGTGTTTGGAGAACTTCCTTGGTCAGATCCGGCGAAGAGACGACGACTAGGTTCCGTTGACCCATCCGTAAGTGGAAAAGGTCTCCGAATCTCTTAGCGTAATCGACGAGGTTACGGTGGTTGAGGTCATCTCCGACCTGGAGCCAGTTTCCGAACACCGGAATCGGTATAGGACCAGGAGGTAGCTTCAATTTCTTGCCGCGGAGCTTGGAAATCACGGCGGCGAGAACCACCGCCACGAAGACGGCGATTAGTGACTTCTCTAACAAGAGAAACTCCATTATACTTCACTCTCCGCTCAATTTATCTTTGATTTTCCCGGTGAGAAATGAATCAAATGACTAATATTATCAATCATTTTAGTCATTTTAATCTCTAATAAGACTATAAACTCAAGTTCGCTTTGTCCTTCTATTTGAATATAATTAAGATTTGACTAATATAATCATTTCTTGACTTCTCATCGATTTTCTACACATGATGTTGAATATTATAATTTTAATACAAATTGTGTAATGAAATGGATTTCATGAACGTTAGTTTGTCTTTGATCCCAATTAAAAAAAAGGAACGTTAGTTTGAGGTAGAAACCTCCAAATTAGGAACTATGGTTTATGGTTCAACAATCATAAGTATTTGAAATGAATATACCAAACAATATTCATTCAAAACAGTGGGAACCACTAGTTATTTCAATCATGGAACGAACCATTTAACGACATTTTACACAAGACCTTACAAAAAAAAAGACCAAAACATGGAATATTCAACAGATTTCACAAACATCATTATAATGCCATCCACATAACAAAAGACATTTTGCAGAAATTACGTTTTCACTTTTTTTTGCAGAAAATGTTAAAAGGCCCTTGGTTTCATAACGATTGTTGAGTGGTTAAGGATGTGCAAGCTGAATTGTCCACCTTTCTCAGAAGTATCCACTTTAGACTGTCCAGGAGGAGGAAGAAGCTCGAAGTTCTGTACCAGCCTACCAATGGTGATTCCCAAAATGGGCAACGCCAATATAATCCCGGGACAGCTTCTACGTCCAACACCAAACGGCACATACCTGAAGTCATTACCATTCGCTTCCACATGCGCCTCTTCTTCGAAAAACCTCTCGGGTCTAAACTCTTCAGGTTTCTTCCAGCTTTCGGGGTTGTTCGCTAGCCACCAGGCATTGACTAGGATTTTGCTTTCAGCTGGGATATCGTAGCCAGCGAGCTTAGCATCGTTAAGGTTCATGTGAGGCACGAGGAGAGGAATAGCCATTCTTAGACGAAGCGTCTCCTTGATCACGGCTTGGAGGTATGGAAGCTTGTGAAGCTCAGGCTCTGTGACTTGAACACCAGGTCCAAGAACCGTATCGATTTCGTTCCTTAGCTTGCTCTGAATCTCAGGATGGTTCACTAGTTCAGCAATTCCCCACTCGATTGACCACAATGTTGTCTCAATAGCTGTTTCAGCAAACATTTGACAGAAGTAATCAGCATCACAAAACTCTATAAATGTTCATTAAAAATTCAGCCTTTTTTCAAGGGAGACAAAAGACACTGCAATTTCTGACCATAAAAGTGTCTTTTGCTGTTTTAGTTAACATTCCAAATTGATGGGATTCACTCAAAAGACTAGTAGCCAACAAAGACACGTCTAGAGGATTGCTTACGTATCCTACAAGGAAGAAATAAGTACCTGCAACGTTGATGTTCTCGACGATGTAAAGAACGTTGTCCTCGTTGATTTCTCCTTTCTGTTGAGCTTCAAGGATATGATCAATGGCGCATTTCAATCCTTCGCTGCCTGTAGGCTTAGCACTCGCAATTTGCCTGTATAGATTTCCCACAGTCAATCTCAAAGTCCCTAAAATCGAAAACCAAAAGATATGACCAAAATCGAAGAAGACGAACTCACTTCCTCTCGTCAACAAAGTACTTTTTGAAGAGCGCTAGTCTCCGATCTTTCACATCTTGACAGATCTTCAAGTAGCCTCTAAGGAACGGCCTAAGGATAGGAATGAAATCGCCATAGTTATACTCAAAGCTCTGAGCCAATCGGCTTCTCTCTCCGTTCAAGGCCTTAAGCCTGAGGAAAAGAGGATCATCCTCGCTCTCGAACCTTCTATCGAACATGATACGGAACATATTGTTGTACATCATCAGCTGCAAACGCTTCCTCAACACAATCCCTTTCGTCGCCGAATCTGGATTCTTCTTCACATCCTCAACGACGCTCGCCGCCTCGAACTCCCATCCTTCCCGATTCTGCTGAACCACCTTGTTGGTGAAGAACGGAACCGTCATAATCCGCCGCATCTTCCTCCAGTGCTCGCCGTACACCGTGAACACCATATCCTGTCCTTTTCCGGTGAATATGTCGAAGACGACGTTCCTGGTACGAGATCCAAACTCCACTCCCTGTGTGTGGAGCACTTCCTTGGTGAGATTCGGCGAAGAGACGACCACTAGGTTACGTTGACCCATACGGAGAAGGAAGAGGTCTCCGAATTTCTTAGCGTAATCGACGAGATTACGGTGGTTTAGGTCATCTCCGACCTGGAGCCAGTTTCCGAACACCGGAATCGGCATAGGACCAGGAGGTAGCTTCAATTTTTTGCCTCGGAGCTTAGAAATCACGGTGGCGAGAATCACCGCCACGAAGACGGCGATTAGAGACTTCTCCAACAAGAGAAGGTCCATTTGCACTTCACTCTCTCGATTTTCGTAATTATCACGGTGATCGATAATTTTTATTTATTTTCCCGGTGAGAGAAATCGTCGGCGAATGAAAAAGCAGAAGAAGCTGCTGAGGAAGAAATGGTGGTGAGAGAGAGGATTTTATAAGAGGGAAGAGGTTGGTTGGTTTGAGAATTGAGAACAACGGCAAAAAGAGAAACGGCGTTAGGTACAAGGGGAGTTGGTGAACGCTGAAATGATAAACGGCGTTAGATTTAACGGGATGGGTCTGTGTGTGTGTGAGTGGGATGGTGATGATGGGGTAGGTAAGGACCGTAAAGTGATCAAAGGTTTGGTGAAGGTAGGAGAAGGATGCTTTATATTTTCATATCTATAAACTAAATTTCGCTTTGTCCTTCAATTTTAATGTAATTAAGAAACGACTAATAACAAAAGTGTTTTTTTGGGTCAAAACTAATAACAAAAGTTTTCATGGAAGTTTGATAATAAATCTAATAAATAAAACTAATACCTTTTGGTGGTATATATTGAAACTAAAGCAGAGAAAGGTATAACAAAGTTATTCTATTTTATATGTATCAGTGGTGGGATCAATTCTATCGTATTCATAGAATAACATGTATACTAGGAATCTGCCTGCGCTTTGCTTAAGAACAAAAAAAGTTTGTAATTAAAAATTATTGTAATTATTTTTTAATCTTGTTATCTACCATTTTCGTAAGATTTAATTGGATGTTATTCGAATAAGAGTGTCTTAGCAAACTATATACTATGGTTATTGCTTATTGGTATAAATCAAAGTTAGCATACTCAATTTAATTCACAAATTTTAGTTGGTTTTATTTTTAGTATGTTTCATTGATATTCTTCAATATGAATTTGCATAAAAAGGTAGTATAATAGGTTTCATTCTGGTTTTTTTACTATAAAATAACTAAAAACTTGACTAACTGGTCATCTCATTGTTTTTGACATCTACTTTTACAAAATAATGTAGTATTATGAATAAGCATGAATAAATAGCAATAAGCCAAGTTTTAAGCTATATGTATTGACGTAGAATAGGAATAAAGATTTAGTATTTGTTAAAAGAATTCAACTTTATTGAAACCAAGAAATATAGGCCCTGCCTGTCATCCACAGTTCATGAAATATTTTGGAGTTTTATTATAATAACGTTGGCAAGATATATTGCACTCCCAATCATTAAAATAGTAAGTGAGAACTGAATGTTTTAAAACTTTTTAAAATATTCAATGTTCATAGATCCGTTAAAATAAATCATATTACGAACTATTAATATTTGTTGGAATATCAATTCAAATTTCATATCGGAAGTTTAGATAAAGTATGACTGATATATAATTCATGTTCAATAGTAATTAGTATGAAATTTTTTAGAAAGGACCTCCCAAAAATAAATTTGTACGGGCTTTGCTACTTGGACATAGGACTGAAAACCCCAACAGTTGTTATCAGAGTCAAGTTCTAGAAAATGTGGACTTGGAAAAGTGGGTGTAGGCTATGTTCATTGTGGGAGGAAAGCCTAAAGGTGACATTGCGATTAAGGGTGCTGGTATTGGTGCCTTGTATCGAAAGTATTTCTGATGGTGCGGAAGGTAAGGCAACGGGTTCCATTGGTGTTTACGGTGGTATAAGATGGGTTCCAGGTTTCGCTTGAGGTTGGGAGGTCAACAATTTATGTGGTGCTTAGCTTGAGGGGAGGATATCCAAGTTACACATTAGAAGTTTATACAAAAATGTGTCTAATATCTAAGTCATGTCCAATAGTACTTAGTATCAAGTCTTTTGGAAAAGAGCCAAAAAGAAATCTGGTTATATAAATATATAAAATAGTGATAGGGAAAGAGAGTGAGATGGAGTGAGGAGACATAGTCGTACTTGAAACGTAGTTATCTCAATAGTATGATATCTACAATTTTGGAGGAAGGAGAGATGGAGAGTGAGAATGAGAAAAAGGGGGAGCAATGGAGAACGAGAGATAGAAAGAGATAGAGGGGTAGAGAGAGAATGATAGGGAGAAATGGAGGGAGGGACATAGGGATTGAGAGGAGAAAGAGAAAGGGGGGGAGAGAGAGTTAAAGCTTTTTAGTACACGTAATTGATTGATATTACAACAATTTTAGAACATGTCCTTTTTGTTACTACTTTTTTTTATTAATCTGGTTTAAAAAGAAACAGTTTGTACTTTAAATATGTGATATATACATTTTAGGACAAGGGAGGGAAGGAGAGAGGGAGACCGAGAATGAGAGAGAGGGAGACCGAGAATGAGAGCGAGATGGAAAGAGAAAAAAAGAGAGAGAGATAGAGAAATTGAGTTAATGTTATCAGGGACATGATGATGGAGAGAAAGCAAGATTGAGGGTATTAGAGAGAGAGGTGAAGACAGGTTCGAAGAGAGAAAGAGAAAGGGGAGAAAGAGTTAATGCTTCCAAGTTTGTAATTGATTGCTATTAAATCTCTGTTAGTTCGTTTCTTTTGTGTTCACAATTTTTTTTTAATTAGAAACACTTTGTACTTTAAATATAGTTGTCTAAATTTTATGATATAGGACGAGGGAGGAATGGGCATAGTAAGAGACAAAGATTGAAAGATAGAGAGGGACAGAGGGATGGAGAGAGAGAGAGAGAGAAAGAGTTAAAGTTTAAGTACATGTATTTAATTGATATAAAAGACTAAAGTAAACCAGAAGAATATGAAGTTGCAGAGAATGAAGATGATGAAGGCGATTAAGAAGAAGAAAAAGTAGAAAGAGGAAGATGATGAGGAGAAGATGACTTGTCTCTTACTTACTGAGTAATGACTTGGTCAAAGCACTGGTAGAGATGGAGATGGAATCAGAGATCAATAGAGGGAGACAAGGAGGCCAGGTTGGAGAAAGAGAAAAGGGGAGGTAAAGAGAGAAAGGCAGAGGGAAAGAATGAGAGAGATAGGGAGGGAGAAAGAGAGGAAGAGAAATAGGGAGAGGGAGAGACAAGGAGAGATAATGAGGGATGGAGAGAGAGGTATAGAGAATGATAAGGAGGGATGGGAAGAGAGGGAGATAGGAAATGAGAAGGAGGGGAAGAGGGGCAAAGATAAAGGAATCGAGACAGAGATCAAGAGTAAGAGACTCGAGCGAACACTTCATACTTTAAATGTAGGTGTCGCAATCGTAAGATATACAATTT